GGGGCACCCCGATATCTCAGCTGGGGTCTGGGTAGCCCCTGGCACAAGGGGGGCCCAATCCTAGTTATGGTCTCTAAGGACAGTAGGACTGGTCACTAATACACCACTTTGCCCCAGCTGAGGATCTGGCCATGAAGTTACGCCAGAATCGTTCCCATCTCGCCCTCCGACCCCTCCGGGCCTGGCTGTCGATTGCCCCTTAGTAACAGCGGGCGCCCTGGGCTGCCGGGTGCAGGGCTGGCCTGGAGCATTTCCCCCGTCACACGTCCCCTTGGGCTGGTCCCCCCCTCGCCCTCCGCCCCGGAGCCCAGCCCTGAACTCAAACCCACCTCCCCAGGCCCGATGCCGGGGGATTCTCCGGCCTGTTCTCTGGAGGTCGAGGGGGGCGACCGCGCTGCCCAGTGCCAGCTCAAACCTGGCATTTCATACCCCCCCCCGCCCCAAACACCTGCATCCCCGTCGGCCCACGCCCCGCAGAGCAGCCCCCAGGCTCCCGCTGCCACCCCCCAGGGGCCCGGCAGGAGAAAGGGGGAGGGGACAGATGGAGGGACGTGACACGAATTGCGGGGACTCAGGTTTGCCATCGCGGCGAGGTCCTTCTCCCGCCTCGTGGCACCGTTCTCGTGAGGGGCGGGTCCCCCGTCTCAGGCCCGTCTCTCATTCCTCCCCGGATTGTGATCGCTAAGCGGCACGGGGGCCTTGGCGGGGGGTGTTGGAAAAGAACAATAAACAAGATTTAGTTTATGAAGCTGGGCCGTCCCGCAGCCCTTTCTCAGGGGTTCTCGGCAGGGAGAGGTGCCCTGTGCATGTGTGGGTGCAGTGGGGGGCGGGGAGTATTTCAGTATGACAGGTGGAGCCCACCTCGGGAGGGGGGTGAGTGTGTGTGACTGGATGTGTGTCGGGGGGGGTGAAGCTGTATGGACTGCACGGGGGGCAGGTTGTGGGGAAATGTGTGTGTTGGGGGCCGGGGGAGGGGGCGTCAGGCTGTGCACATGTTGGGCTGGTGGGTGAATGTGTTGCGGCTGGGAAAATAACCCGGAATCCCGATTCCCAGCCCCGCTGTAACCACTAGACCTCACTCCCCTCCCAGAGCTAGGGAGAGAACCCAGGAGTCCTGACTCCCAGTCCCCCCTGCTCTAACCACTAGACCCCACTCCCCTCCCAGAGCTGGGAGAGAACCCAGGCGTCCTGCCTCCCAGCCCCTGCTCTAACCCCCAGACCCCGTTTGGCTGCACATCGAGCTGTAGTCAGATGAATGTGGTGGGGGAAGCAGCTCCCCAGACAGGAGCCGGGGTGGGCGTTGCTACACTGGCAGGTGATGCAGGCCCCTAATGCCCCCCCACCCCCGATGAAATAAGTGTTAGATCTGGCAGCCCTGGGCAGGGCTGCAGAGCCTGGGGTGGGGGGGGCCATAGTGCGTGTGGGGTGAGCTACGTGGGCCAAGGAGCTGTCAGTGCCCCGGGAAGGGGCCGGTGGGACTCCTTGCCACGTGATCCGTGAGGCCAGGAGTCTAGGCTGGCTTCAGAGAGGGACGGGGCACAGTGAGAGCCCCCGGGGCAACGCGAGCAAACCCAGAATAGGGGACTGGGGTGGGGGGATCTTCCCCTGGGGGCTGGTTAGCCCATCGCTGCCAGGAGTCTCGCGCCTGCCTCTGAGTCGTGCTGCCAGGAGTCTCGCGCCTGCTCTCCGCCAGTCTGCGCTTCCTTGATCCTACCCAGATGTCCTAGCGCATCGGGCCCCACAGCTGGCACCCCCTCCCTGGGGTCCCCCAGCACCTCCTCCCTAGGGACCCCCCGGAGCTCCCTCCCCAGGGACCCCCAGTGCCCCCTCCCCATGCACCCGTCCCTCCGTGCCGCGGCTGGCGCCATCCTCCCCTGCTGCCGGTCAGAGACTGTTGAGCAGTGGGTGCCCAAAGGAGCCTGCATAGCCCCTTGGGTGCCTGGACCCCCTGCCCCCAGGGCCTGGGCCAGCCCCAAAGGTTCCCCTCTAGTCCCAGGGGGCTCCCTGGCCGGTGATTTCACTCCTCACTCGTCCCCCCCCAGCTGCCTGTCTGGAGCGTTAGTCGACGGGGCTGGCAGAAGAGCAGGGCTCCTGGTACAGCTGCCCGGCCCCCTGGCAGGACCCCCCATTCCCGGGGGCACCCTGTTGGCAGAGCCGTGGGGCCAGGCCGCCAGGCAGCTATAAATGGCAATGCGCATTCTGAGCTGGGGAGCGAGAGGGGGTGGGCGAGAGGGGGCCAGGGGGCGGGGAGGGGGGCGTTGGCGCCCGGCCTGACTCAGCCACCGCACGGCCCAGCCTCACGTCATCAGTAAAAATTAGCTGCCTGCCAGGTCCCTCCGGCATCAGAGCCTCCTGGGCCGTGAGCTCAGGGCTGAGTCAGCCTGGGCCCTTAACCCCCTGGCTGCTGTGGCCTGGACACACGCATGGACACACGCGTGTGCACACGCACAGCCCGGCAGCGCTGGGTTGGCGGGAGCCAGCCTGCTGGGGGGGCACAGGATCGGGCCCCTGGGGTGTCCCCTCTCCACATACCTCTAGCCGGCCTGCCCCATCTCACAGCCCAGCACACCAGCAGGGGGCAGTGCAGAAACACACCCAGCCCTCCCCACCTCAGGGTGAGCTCCCGGCCCCAGGGAGCTGGGACCCCCAAACCAGATCCCCCAACAGTCACTGGCCTCTAACCGACGCTTTGCTCGGAAACACTTCAGGCAAGGACTGTGATTAGCTATTGGGGGCAGCGCCTGGCACAAGGGGCCCCGAGCCCAGCCCGGGGCCCGCTCAGCGCTGCCCCGATATAAACATCATCATAAACTCGTTCCCGGGGCATGGGGAAGGGGAGTCGCCCGAGGACGCCGAGAACAATGAGCCACAGGCCCTAGTTCTCAGCACTTCCACCAGCAGAGCTCAAAGCAGCGCGGCGTCCTTATCCCCATTTCCCAGATGGGGAAACTGAGGCACCGAGCGGGGAGGTGACTTACACAGGTCGCCCACCCGGCCAGCGGCAGAGCCGGGGATAGAACCAGCTTTCACTCCCGGGCTCTATCCGCTAGGCCGCGCTGCCGGGCTCATCAACCGCTCAGTCTAACCCATCGCTTTGGGCTAGTTCATGGGCTAGCACCCGCTGCAGGCTCACCCAGAGCTCCCGCAGCGCCTCTCGCGTCCTGCCGCCCTGTGCCCCCAGTGCCGCCTGCACCCCCTCCTCCAGACCCTGCCTGACCCCGTTTGCTCGCTGGGGCTTCCGGCTGCGTTCCCCGCCCCCTTAGGCAGGACGCAGCTGATTGTGTCCCAGCCGGGGATCCCTGACCAGGGCCTGGTCCCAGCGGGGTCAGAGCCGTGATGTAACGGCCTTAAGCGCTAGGAAATCACAGAGCCAGAACTCCTGGGTTCAGCCCCCAGCCGTGCCCACGACTCCCGCACGGGCACCTGGGAGAGGGACCTCAGGGCCTGTCCATTGCGCTCAGGGGTCGCTTCAGGCCAACGCGAGCAAAGGCTCAGCACGGGGGGGGGGGCACGTGGCTGATACACGCTGGGGAGGAGGACGTGGCCCCGGGGTGGGAGGACATGGCCCGTACGCACCGTGTTTGTGGGGGGACAGGACCTGTACACGCCATGTGAGGGACGGGGGGACACGGTCGATTTGTGCTATGTGTTGAGGGGGGACATGACCTATACATGGTGGAGGCAGATACATGGTCCATATGTGCTGGGGGAGGGAGGCCGGAGCTCATACGCTCGGTGTGGGGAGGGGATATGGCCCAGAAGCGCTGTTTGGTAGGGGGATGTGGCTGGTAGGTGCTGAGTTGGGGGGGGGGGTGGCCTGTGGGTGGGGTGTGTGGGGGGGGGGGTGACACATACGTGTTTGTTTGGAGGGGATATGTGGCCTACAGATGCTGTTGTTTGGCGGGGACACGTGACCCAAGGGTGCTTTGTTGGGGGGGATGTGTCCCATGGGTGCTGTTGGGGAGGATGTGTCCCGTGGGTGCTGGGTTGGGGAGGGAACATGGCCCGTAGCTGCTGTGTTATGGAGGGAACGTGGCCCATGGGTGCTGGGTTTGGGGGCATGTGGCCCATGGGTACTGTTGGGGAGGGGACATGGCCCGTGGGTGCTGGGTTTGGTGGGAGGTGGCCCGTGGGTGCTGAGTTTGGTGGGAACGTGGCCTGTGGGTGCTGGGTTTGGGGGGACATGGCCCATGGGTGCTGTTGGGGAGAGGACATGGCCCGTGGGTGCTGGGTTTGGCGGGAACGTGGCGCATGGGTGCTGGGTTTGGGGGGACGTGGCCCGTGGGTGCTGTTGGGGAGGGGACGTGGCCCGTGGGTGCTGGGTTTGGGGGGACATGGCCAGTGGGTGCTGGGTTTGGGGGGACGTGGCCCGTGGGTGCTGTTGGGGA